TTTCGGCCATCACGGCCACTTTCCCGAACTTCGGTAATTGTACTACACGATAGCTCGTAAACGACTTGTAGCGGGACCGTGATATTTACATGGTATATGCGGTATGTTAATGTGATTAAAATGGTATATGATAAGTGTCCGTCCGTCCTCGGGATTACCGATTCTGGCCAGATTACCGATAATATACGGTAATGGATGGGTATATTCAGGTGTATTTACAATATAAATGTGAATATAACAGAGTACATGAATGGTATAAATGTGATTAAATATAGTATTGGCGCGAAAAAATATAAGAGAGAGTCACGTGACGAATAATGACTAATAACGGGGTTTAACTGTTGTTTAGGTTTACCATTAATGATGTTCAATTGTACTAAACTATTATTTTCCTGTCAATATGAATACATAAATTATGAATAGCAGTTCATTTTGAAACTTATTTAGAGCCTATGGAACACAATGTGCTTTTCTGTGACATATTGTATATAACCTGTAAGTAAACTTTATGACTGATTCTGACCAGTGATATAGCGGTGATGAGTACTGTTAAGTAGATTTGTCTCGAGAGATGGCCATATTTATAACCACTTGCATACTATAATTCTGGTAAATTCAGAATTAATTCTGAATGGCATTACTAATATGAAAACAAGTTCTGTATTCAATATCAATGTTTGTTAAAACGTGCTTTTTAAATAGTTTTAAAAAATGTGGTCATAATTGGGGTGTTTGTGGTCATTCGCAGCTTATGTCACAAGAATGCAAATTACATCACTCTACAAAACACAACTTAAAACTTTGTGCAAATAATTAATTAAATACAAACCTATAGTTTCATCTTGCCCACAAATCAATGGAATTATAAATAATAACGTAATTGCAATTTAAGTCAACATTTTTTCGATTTTTATATTTTCGTAAATATTTTCGTAAATATTTTTACTTTATTTAACAAAATGTTGTCAATTCAGTCTCCGTGTAATCTTTGGCTAAAGTTTGCAAACATTATTTATAAGTAATTAATACATAAATATTAAATCATTTATAATTTATAAATCGAAAATATGGTTTGAATCATAAATATTTTAGAAATTAATTGTATGTAAAATACCTGTAAATCACAGAAATCTCATCTCAAAACAAGTCAAACATGAATAGAATATGCGTTTGTATTGCTATTACACTTATCCATTATGGTAAGGTGCCTTTTGGCAAGGGGATTGCCAAAACAAATGCTCCCTCTATAATATATGGTCGGCTTCTACTTTTATAACACAAAAGTCAAAATAAATTTTATGGATATTTAACATATACATTTTATGTGGATTTTAATGCTGATTACGAAAATCAAATCAAATTATTTTTAACTCGAATAATATTCGAGTTATTCGACTTAGAAAATTATTTTCGAAAAATTTGCATTTTGTGTAAATTATACATATTTGATATTGAATCAATGTGGAATTCAACGCTGATAATGAATTAGAAATCCATTTTCAAGTCTCATTAAACACTAAAATGTTACACGACTTTTACATTTATTTTTTTAATTTTAGACGTAATTTATGATAATAATTTCAATACTTAAAAATGAATTTCATATTCATTTTCAGCGTCAAATTTCATATTGATATAATATAAAATACAAATAATTTACACAAAATGCAAATTTTTCGAAAATAATTTTCTAAGTCGAGTAAGTCGAAAGATATTTGAGATAAAATTTTTTGGATTCCATAATCATTTATAGCGTTAAATTTCACATTGATTTAATATAAAATACAACTAATTTAAACAAAATTTAATGTATTTTGAAAAATTTAAGTCGAATAACTCGAAAATTATTCGAGTTAAAAATTATTTGATTTGATTTTCGTAATCAGCATTAAAATCCACATAAAATGTATATTTTAAATATCCATAAAATTTATTTTGACTTTTGTGTTATAAAAGTAGAAGCCGACCATATAGTATAGAGGGAGCATTTGTTTTGACAATCCCCTTGCCAAAAGGCACCTTACCATAATGGATAAGTGTTACTCTCAAAACCCTTTACAAAACTGTGCCAAAAATTAGTATTAGATGTACAGAGAAAAGCCTTCTCTTTGATCGTCAAATAAAATCACAACTTCTGGTAATTACAGGAATCACACCATCCAAGCGATCCATTGCTCACCTCACCTAATATTACACAAACCAAGTGTTTAATAAGCTTTGTATTGCATTCACAACTGGTGTACAGACATCTGTCACTCATTTAAATGCATTCAACACTATTAATAAACTACTCTTAAAGTCATTTGCATTAAATCATTTATATAGTAAATACAGGTTTGAGCTAATCATTGTCTGAGCTTATCGATGATTAAATAGTACAGTAAACACTGATTACAATTTTTTTAATGGATTTTATGGTTAATTTTAATCATCAATAAAACATTTCAATGCTTAATCATAAGGAGTGGTTGCATTCAAAACACTTTGTTTAACGAATTGAACGCTTCTATCGTTTGCCGTATTTTCCAATTCAAAGACAATTAATTTGTTTGGTTTCGGGAATGCATTGAAGAGGTGTTTGGGTGTATAGAGAGTGAGTTGTGGGCCAACAGTCCAATAACGGCCTAAATTGAAACCATTGAGAAATGCCAGTCCTTTACGCCAACCGTCCAAACGTAGGAATGTATCCAAAGGGTAGTCCTTATTGTCAGACAAAACAAATTCAGAGAAATAAAATCCAGGAATCCTTTCAAATGAACTCTTTTTGATCGGCAATTGATTTGAAGAATAAATATCTGAATAATACTGAATATATGCCACATTTTCGGTCCAATTCTTAAATAACAAATAATGTTTCCAATTCTTTAAAAGTTGCGGACCAATTGTCACGTTAGATGTGATGCCCTTTAGGTTTACAAATTTATTATTTAGTAAATTTATAAAAAACTGTAAATTTAAGCATTAATTAAATCAAAAACCTTTGATTCTCCGAAAACATTTCCATAACAAAGTCTTCCCTGATTTTCGACTAACAAATCCAGTTGTGATCCAAACTCTATATCCAAACCTATTGTAAACAGATTTCGAGTCCGACTCAAAGTTCCCGCATATTTCTACAAATTTATTCACTAATTTATTAATCAACTTTTCACTACTCTTTAGACTATTATATACTTTATTAACAAACACTTGAGCCCTATCTTTGAGTCCCTTAACCGTCAAAACTGCCGGATCTGAAGGAATGAATGCAATGTTTGTGGAGTAGAGTATAAACCCGTCTCTAACTCGCAATTCTTCGAAAGTCATCGGAAATGTCGACTCAATGGGTGTTTGAGATTTGATAATATCGTATATATTGAGCACTGGTTTCATGACAATAGGTTTGGTCTCCATTTTAGGCGCCGGTGCCGGTAATGTGCCGTTAGGGAGGGGTAAGTACTAAACATAATTACACATTTTAATATTCTCATACATTAAAGCATAATTACAAAATTGATTCACTTTTCCGATAACTTTGCGGACATCGAAGTACTTCTGTGTCGGATCTCCTGATTCGGTGAGCGGAGCGTTAAAATCATAACTAGTAATACATGGGATATATTGTCCGCCATCGCCCTGATTAGCGCCGGCGCCAAACCCGAAGCTCGTGCCCCCACAAAGAGGATAACTATTTACAGAGAAACAACACTATCTATATTTCACGTCAAACCAAAGGTAATTCAATGGCAATTACAGATTGAGGGAAGCATTAAAAGCCAACATCTTATCCAAAGTGTTGGCCACCTGTGCTGAACCAACTGTTGAGTGGGGCTCTTCCCAGTGGTCTATCCAACCCGTGTAGTACTCGGAGTTGACGTACGGACCGAACTGTTGGTGCGCGCGTTGGGCCGCAAACGACTGGACAATATCACTGCCGGGGCCGAAGTCAATGGTTGCAAACACGCCGTCTATTTTGCCGCACTTTAAAAAGTAGTCGGCGTTTCCGTCGGTAGTGAAGAGTTGGACTTCACGGCCGAAGTGTTTGATATGAAAGTCCCTCAAATGGTCGACGTATTCAAAATCACAGGCGTTATAACTTCCGTATTCATTCTCTATCTGAACCATAATAACGGGTCCGCCGTTGATGTATAACATGGGCGCCAACTTTGGCAACAATAATGAAAACCATTTGTCCACAGCTGACAGATATGTCGGATCAGATGTCCTTAATTTCATTTTTGGGTTTTTAGACAACAGCCAATACGGAAGTCCTCCCTATATATAGTAATTAAATTGAATTCAAATTAATTTAGTTTCAATTATAAGGTTTAAGAAATAATACCAAATCCCTCTCCGCGTCGATATACGGACCGGTCCTCAGGTTAATTAAAAGTCCCAAATCGTGAGCCGTTTGTAAGTATTTAATGATATCGTAGTCGCCATCAAAGCGAAAGACTCCCTCTTCGGGCTCATGAAATGTCCACTCAATATAACTGTCAAAATACGAGACAAACCATAGTTTTATATCTATTTGTCTGAAAAGTTTTTAGAAATAAGGAAATACTGTACGTTTGTATGACATTAAGTCCCGCCATCTTATACTTGACCATCCGATCCAACCAAAGAACTGCCGGCACTTTGAAGTAATGAAGAGCTCCCGAGACGTAACGGAATGGTTGGCCATCTTTGATAAATTGATTCGTATTTGAATTAATGGTGAATTGACCGACAGATCCGATCGCACTCTACATTTAACATAACATTTCTAGAAATATATGTCAAATAATAAAATATCTATTTTTTACATAAATCAAAGTCGAGACCAAGAATATGATTATTAATAAAGACTTCATGATTCACTTAATTGAATAATTATCACTTATTATGCAATAAATTTATATTTTTGGTTTATCCCTTTTTACGTAGCATTACATTAAATGTTTTCATTTAACAATTAATACTAAACTAACAAAACTTAAGAATTTTATTGTTAAACACAAACAAAACAGTATATGCTTTGTTCAATTGTTTTAAAATATAAAAAGCACCTGTATCATAACAACCTTTCTGGAATTGATAGTATTAGAAATAGATCACAAATTATTGATTTAAACACACAGTAGATAACAAAAAATATTATTGTGATTATTATAAATTAGTTGTTTATATAAAATTCTAAATTAATGTTTAATAAATTAAAGCACTTATAATACTTCTTAAATGTATGTACAAATGCTAATCATATCTATTGAGTGAATCAAATGTTAGATTAATTAATCATTTGTTTGTTTTAAATGGTAACCAATGCTTTATAAACATTATTTATATACAATTTTATTGATAAATAAAATCAATAAAAATTACATAAATTTTATCCGTTGTATTGTATATTTTTTGTGTCATTTTTAATATAATCCAGTTTTTACAAATATAATAATTTATTAAATTATAATATTCCTGTAATTAATAGTATTGAGAGATTTCATAGTTTCTTGTTTAAACATAAGTGTCGTTTCCTAATTTATTTAGTTTATAAATAAATTATCAAACAATTTAAATTAATTTCAATTCAATTTTCAATGTTTCTAAATGCCTTAAAAATGTATTATTTTATATAAATGTCATGAAAATAAGTGGTTTAAAAAAGGTTTCCTGTAATTAGTGTTAATAAAATTATTGATATACTGTAAATTGATGATTTGGTTTGTCGTCTATAACATTGTCTCTACAAATAGATTGTGTATATTTCATATAATATCAAACATTTATTATTTCATTGTAACAATTATAGACAATATTTATTTTTATAATCTAATAAAAGCTTAAAATTGTTGATCACACCGATGTAATTTAGTGATTAAATACTAGTTACAAGTTTAGTATAAATATCAATTTAAATAAAGTTACAAGCTTAAATTAAATTAACGTTATAAAAATTATTTAGTTAATTGTCTATAAGCTTTATAAAACAATAAATAACTGGTCAAAGAGCTAAACATTTATTTAATTCTCACGAATTAATAAATTTTAAAACCTATTTTATAGATTAGATTAATTGCAGGTAATTGGTGTCATATGTATTGACACAGAAACGACAATTCAATAAAAACTTAATTATCATTAATTGTATTCTCATTGAGATTACATTCAAAAATCTGACACAACTTTAATCTTAATTATAATTAATAGACTATTAAAACATAAGTAAACTCAATGCGATTTGGGCTTCAAAAACTATAAATGAAAATAAATGATGA